GCTACATGGTGATCAAGACGCTATCATATCACAGAGTGTGTCTTTACATTTGATGCAAAAACTTACCTCTCCTGTTGAGCTAAAGGTTATAGAGAATGGCAGCCATTGGTTGTGTAGACCAGAAGACACCCAACACTTGTTGGAGGCCATCGATTCATTACTCCATCCTTCTGATGTTGAGCAAGACGACGACTAAAAGTTTAAATAGAAATTTTAGTGTGTGTGTGTGTGTGCATCACGTGTGTGGTTGTGTGTGAAAAGAGTATTATCATTATAATTATTATTAATTATTAGAATTATTATTAATAGCTTATTATCATATCCAAATCTTTATAAATTTTTATATTTCATTATTATTATTGTTGTTGTTGTTGTTGTGTTGATAGTTGTTGTTGTGTTGATAGTTGTTTTGCTCATTAATGATCATTATTATTATTATGCCTGTATCATATTTGTCTGATTCTATGTGTATCGTTAAAACTGTTAATTATCCCCTCCCTCCTCTCTCTCTCTTTCTCGCTATAATGAGAATTTATTGTCATTTTAAATACATTTTATTTGCATTTCTACATGTAATGAATTTAGAAAGACAAACTATTATTATTATAACTACTACTCCACAATTAATAGTATTATTATAGCTTTTATTATTATTATTATTATACTTAGAGTAGATAATACTTCTAAGTATTATCTACTCTTGTTATTATTATTATTACTATTATTATTATTATTATTATTATTATTATTATTATTATTATTACTATTAACCAAAATTATTTTGGGATATTCCTATTATGAAGTAATGCGCTGTGGGAAACCATTTTAAAGATAGTTTGTAATAACATCTTGCGGCTACTGCCAGGTGTGTGACGATAAAGCGACTGACTAAAGGAAGACATAACTTTAAACTTCCCTTTCTTCTTCTCTGCACTTTGGCCCTCGCCCTCAAGGCTGGCTTGTTTCTCTACTAAAGAATAATTGCAAGGAATAAAGATCCTTTGAATGAAGGAATCTGAAGAGACACCATGGAGCTCACAGTGTATATAATTTGTATCATAGTCCTTCTCTTCACAGTATTCGTTACAATAGTCAGCTCTAGCCTGCTATGCTGCTGCCTCTGTTACAGACTCGGAAAGAAAAGGGCTGATAAAATGGTTGTCACTTTTGCTCATCCTCGCTCCCGTCCTGAGGAAGAGCCTCCTGCCTTTAGAAGGAACTCTGACATGTTTAGCAGCGCCACCATGACCAACAGGCCCGTACACACAGTCACTAACATTATGTGGCTTGAGTTGGAAAGCAGTAGTGGCTCATCCAGTGATAATGGGCTACACAGCAACGTATGATAATGACGTTAAACTGGAGAAGCTTTTTAACTCAATCACAGAAAAACCCTTTGTATCTATCTCCCTCCCTCTCTCCCGGCCTTTGCATTATTTGTTTATACATTAAATTGACTGTACTTTTTTATAAACAATGATTAAATGATTTTATTTTAACAAGATTTTATCTCAGTGTAATGGGTAGGAAAATAAGAAATGGTACAGTGTAGCTAACTGTTATTATTATTATCATTATCACAAAGCAGTGTTTTGAATCAGATATAGTTTCTGCTTCAAGGCTAGTCATCCATTGCATTGTCATAGGCCTTCAGTTTCATTTCAACAATAATCCCACACTATAACCACAATATCTATACAATATTAACCACAATATCCATAAACCACAATATCCATACAATATTAGACGAAACACAATTAAAAACTAACCACTGTATATACAATGAACAAGTATATGTCATGAATCTACAACATTGATATGACACTGATGAGGTACAGAATGATAAAAATGATGAGTTCAATTGCATACAAACACACACAAATGTGAATTCAGCATGCATAATGATTAAATCACGTAGTTCTTAGTCAAATCTCTTATATTGAGAGTCACCACCTTCTAAAGTGTTGGTGCTGCTGGTGAAGCTGTCGTTATCGTCAGGATAAGACTCCATCTGTGTGTAGGCCAGCTCCTGTACATGGAGAGCATGTCTTTTTCTTTTATTAGCAACCAGTACACAGACTACCAGACCACATGAAAAGAAAAATGTCAGGATCTAGGAGAGGAGAAAATTAAATATTAATTTATATATTGTATTTTACCTGAGCAGCTGCTACTGTGACAGCTACAGCTCCGAATGCAATTAAATTGTGTTTGAGATAACTCACTACGGCTTCTTGACAATTCTAATAATAATAATAATATTAATTTTGATATAACATGATTTAATTGTTTATGTGACAAAACAGAACATACAAATTAATTTCCAATGCTATAAGTACATCAATATGTATCAAAAAAGGAATAAAAATTGGAGGTGATTTTGGAGCCATTTTTTAGAAAAAAAACATGGGCTATAGCCTTGGGTATTTTTCAAAAATTGGCCAGTTTTTTAAAACGACAATAACTTGAAAAATTTTTTATCGGAATCACCTCAAACTTTCTACATAGCATAAGGACATCAATATGTATCAGAAAATGTAATAAAAATTTGACGTGATTTTGGAGCCATTTTTTGGAAAAAACCATGGGCTATAGCCTATAGCCTTGGGTATTTTTCAAAAATGGCCAATTTTTTTAATGGTCATAACTCGAAAATTCTTTGTCAGAATCACCTCAAACTTTCTACATAGCATAAGGACATCAATATGTATCAGAAAATGTAATAAAAATTTGGCATGATTTTGGAGCCATTTTTCAGAAAAAACCATGGGCTATAGCCTTGGGTATTTTTCAAAAATTGGCCAGTTTTTAAAAATGACCATAACTTTAAAATTTCTTACCGGAAACAGCTCAAACTTTTTACATAGCATAAGGATATCAATATGTATCAGAAAATGTAATAAAAATTTGGGGTGATTTCGGAGCCATTTTTCAGAAAAAACCATGGGCTATAGTCTTGGGTATTTTTCAAAAATTGGCTCACTTTAGAAAATGGGCATAACTTAAAAATTTTTATCGGAATCAGCTTAAACTTTCTACACAGCATAAGTATGTCAATATGTATGAACTGACAAGAAGAAAAGGTCCATTAACTTAATGATGAAAAATATACATTGAGTGCAATGCTGGAAAAATGCAAATTTTACATTCCACATTTATGATTATATTTAAGAAAAAAAGCACTACTACTACAACTGATAGTAAATTACTAATAAACAACTTCAAAGACTAACTCTTCTCCATATGCTCAGTGTGACGTTGAACCCAATGAAACTAGCAATATTGGGAGGTATAGTAACACCAGCTGGTAGATGAAGGTTGGACGGGACTACAGGCAGAGTGTAAGGAGGATACACGCTACACTCAGTCGTGTTCTGAGTTATGATGGCGTCATTATCATCGTGACAGTAACAGCTTTCAGGTAGGCTGGCATGAGAGAGCACGTATCCTATGTTGACCAACATCCAGTCGTAGAAACCAAATTGAAACCCGCAGCAGCGGAACTAAAGAAAGACAGCATTGTCTAAATCCTTTCACAAACATTTTAATTTTGACGACATTTTAAGATCTGTGCTGTGCTTACATTCTCCTGAATAAAGTCAAGAACTTCATTTCCGTCCTCATTATAGACCGGACTGGACTGATTGGTGGTGTAGTTTCTCATGAACTTAATAATCTGAGCAGTCACTCTATCTTTCTAAATAAATAAAAATAATAAATCAATAAATAAATAAATAAATGAATAAATGGTGTATTATGTAGAGCTCACTACTTCATCTTTATATACAAACGCAGTGACTCCAGCCCCAACCTGTATCCCTATTAGCAACAGTATGAGGAAGCAATACTGGGAAAGGAGAGGGAGAGAGAGGAAGAGGGTAGGAAGGAATTTACTATGATACACTTGTTATTATTCATAATCATCCACTGATAACAGTACAATCATGATACAGTCCATTTATGAATTATAAAAACAAACAACTGACTCCATAGTCCACAGGCAAAGGAAAATATAATAATACCAGTAGCTATTATATTAGCTCTTGATAAAAGTGATGAGTTTGTTTTATTTACAATAGAGCCAGGTAATGTAACTAATGGACATACATATACACACCTTCTCCTTTTAGGGTAAACACATCTAGTAGTCTATAAGGTAAATAATGGAAGGTGTACATGTACAGGAAAATGGTTTATTTTTATTTTATTTTATCATACTAGTATTAATAGCGGCCATAGACTCGCTGCAGCAGCAGTTATTCCCAGTACAGCAGTTAATATTGTGATGATACCAACCCCGACGAGGATTCCTGCTTCAATTTTAAAGTCAGACCCGACCACATTGTTGAAATGTTCTATGTTAGTCAAAGCGTAAATTCCAGCCCCACTGAGACACAAACCAAGAATCTGGAGAAAGAGAGAAGCTAACCAGGTAAAGTATAAAAGACCATTTATTTACCAGGTAAAAGATGTTTAAGAGAATGAGAACAACTTTAGCAAAAACACTGCAGCATTTTACCGGATCACTCATCTTTCACTTCTTCTCGCAATTTTAAAGTACCGTATTATTTCTAATTTAACGTGCAGAAACTAGCCACACCTCTCACAGTCTGAAAATTTGAAAAATGTTGAGACTCTTCATTTTATCATCAAGATATTCAGCTCCTCCTTTTTCTCCGCCCACTCAATTAACTTGCATATCCTTGACAAGACTCAGACAAACACAAAAGAGTTTCCCCTACCCTCCCTCACTCTCTCTTTACTCAACACTTGGTTCTAAACAGGGCGAAGGGTATCTAAAAACAAGATGGAAGTACATAGTGACTGTCGTCAAGTCGTTTGTTCAAGGTATGAAGTTATTAATAAAAGACGTCAAGGAGGCGAGACGTTTGAGACGTAACGGGTTAAAATTAGATGGGACTAGGCCACGCCCACCTCCAGAGAGCACGATAACGTGGGAAGATTTGAGATTCATTGATAAAGTAACAAGACGCAATAATTAATAATTAATGATTGTTTTATTATGTTAGACTGTTTCTGATTTGAAGAGGGTTTTTCCCACTATTGCGTTATTTTGGATACCTTTAGTCGGCTACGTGGCACCTTTCTTGGCGTAAGAAATGAAAGAGTTAAAAATTAATTAATGAATAATAATTTGAAAATAGGTTGGCTTTTCCAAAGTACTTGCTTAGTTCTCACTTTTGGTCGGCGGATCAGAGAAAGGAATTTGAAGAGAAGAATAAAGTAATGAGAAAAGACAATACGAAAAGATTGAAGGAATATCTTTTGGAAAATAAGAATGACGGCCCAGTCAAAATTATAGCTGATTGCCTGGATAAAGTTAAGCAACAGAAAGTAAGGAATGGTTGCAAGACGAACAATGGTTTCATTGCTTGAGATTAGGAGAAAGACATCTCAGACTGGAACTGGGTATCAGAATCTGGAATTATGAGTATGGATCTTAGTAGTCTTTCATCACAGCATATTGTAAGTACTGTAATGTATTTCTTTATTCATTTATTTATTTATTTTGTAGAATTGTTTGTCACATTCGTGGGGCATAAAGACTCTTCTCCCGTTTCCCTTTTGGCAGCGAAGACGACTTGTTAAAAGATTGAACTATATATATGGCTGTGACTACCTTTTACAATCAAGAGGAATTAATGACAGGGGCAGGAAAAGAGAGGCAAGTTTATACACAAACCAGCACTTGGTACATTAAAAAAAATTATATTACCTGAAGCTGATTGGAGGTACATGTTTTTATAATTGATTTTTATAGGCGTTAATGGAGAGAGGTGTAAGTGTTAAGAATGTTGACAGAGCTTTGGACGTGTGGCTGTCTCTTTCTAACTCACAAGAAAGTAAGAGAACACAATCATTTAAAAATACTCTCTCTCTCTCTTTTAGATTGTCCGTATGTATTACTGAGTCACGCCCCTTTGGTATGGGTGGAGCATAGCAACAACTAAATATTGTACTATTATGTTAGATAGTGTCCATATTAATCATTACTCACTAGTTTAAACAATCAAAATTCATTAATTAATACACAAGAGACTGTCTCTATTCTCTCAATGCATTCCGGGACGATCCTCCTTTGGTTTGGGAGCAATCTTTATCATATCATCAATACGGAGGATAGTAATGGCCGCCTCTGTAGCAAACTTAAGGCTCTTGATCTTGCTCAGTGCCGGTTCAAGGACACCAGCCTTCTTGTTGTCTCGGACGGAGCCTGTCAATAAATCTAGTCCATACCTGGAGAGATAAGAGAGAGAGAGATGTCAACAATGAGTAATTAATACTACACTGCTGCCAATCTCCCAGTCAACAGAGTTGGCATGACACTACAGCAACAAGACCTTTAGCATATAATCATCAATGAGTTATATAACACACACTTGTACATATAGACACGAGGAATGTACATGTACATGTACATATATTCTGTGTGACTTCAGTAGTGGTAGTAGTACCATTTCAATGACTCTCTTTCTGTCATAGTTTGTGAGGCATTGTGGAATGCTCTCAGTTTTGAGACCAGATCAGTGGAGTCCTGGGCAGCATTAACCGAGAGGGTCTTTGGGATAACTAGCAAAGCTTGAGCAAATTCAGCAACTGCCAACTGCTCTCTTGAAGACTGAGGAGGAGGAAATATGGTAATAAAATGGAGGATTCTCTACTTTTCATTTTTTGCAAAATTTTGGTAAAAATTCATAACAAATCCAAATTTGATCAAAACCAGCTCAAACTTTTCATGCAACATAAGTACATGCGTATCAAATAAATTAATAAACTTACAATTGACGTCGCAAGGTTCTCAAGGTATATGGATAAAGCTGTTTCTACGGCTCCTCCCCCCACCACCAGCTGGTTGGACTCAAGGACTCTCTTTAAGACACAAAGTGAGTCGTGTAAAGAACGCTCTACCTCATCAACATAATAATCGTTAGGACCCCGCAGCAATATGGAGGCTGAAGACCGTGACTTTGTACTATAAACAACAACAACAACAATAATAACAATAATAAAGTCTCTCTCTCACCCTTTTATAAATATCAGTTCATCGTCACAGATCCTTTCCTGTACGACAGTCTCTGCCTGCCCCAGCAGAGACGAGTCAAACGTCTCCTCTCCCTCCATGTTTGCCATGGAAACGACAAGCGTTGCTATGCAACAAACAAATAAATCGTTACTTAGTCCAAAAAGTTTAAATACATGTACATATAAATTATTATTATTATTATCATACCTCCAGTTGCTCTAGCTATTCTCTTCAGATCCTCCTTCTTCACTCTCCTTACTCCCATTGCTTTAGCCTCCACAAAATACTTAAGACACAAGTCATCAATACCTCCTGAGACGAGGACCACGTTAGCTCCAGCTGCCAGTATCTTCTCAATCCTTTCCTTCACTATATCGTACTCACTAAAAGTAGACACCATGATTAATAATAATTTATTCTATTAACCTACCGTTGTCTGATTCCCTCCAGTTTCTCCGGCTCCGTCACCAAGACTGATACACCCATTTGCATCTTCGCCTTCTGCAAAGTGAAGTCCAGACAAGCTATTTTAGCATTTTCAACCTTCATCGGCATTGCTAGTGGAGAGAAGGAGAGAGGTTATTATACTACGTCATTTCAAAGGTTATTAATACCTTGAGAAGCGACAGTACAGTTCAATGCATACCCGTCAACTAGGACACTCTCTTTTGTGCTTCGCCCGTGAGCTTTTAAAATATTGATGGCTTTGATCGGATACCGTATCTCTCCTTTAGCATTAGTCCTCTTGACAGATTGGACGGCACTGACCACCATATTGGAGAAGAAATCTGACTCACTGAGAGAAAGAGAATGTTATAAATAAATATAATATATTATTCTTCTTACAGTCCGATCAGTTTTGATGATAAAGAAGTCTTTGCTGCATTCAATAGACATTCCTGTCCCAGTTCATCAACACTAACAGTTAGTCTGTCCTGTATATACCGCACTGCTTCTCTAGAATATGCAACAAAAACACACGAAATAATTCATGAAAAGATATTGAATGTCCTTACTTGCAGGCCAGTCTGTATCCTTGGATTATTGAGGTTGGGTGGATTTTGAATTTAATGAGTTCTTCCGCATGTTTGAGTAGTTCGGCTGCAATGATGACGACTGATGTGGTCCCATCCCCGACCTCCTGGTCTTGTAAATCGGCTAATTCAACGAGGACCTTAGCAGCTGGGTGCTCCACCTCAAGCAGTTTAAGGATAGTTGCTCCATCATTAGTCACTGTTACTTCCTTCAGAGGGGGAGGGGCAATAATATACTAATAATATGTTTCATTATTTGCTTACTCCAACTTCGTCCACAAGCATTTTATCCAACCCGACCGGCCCCAAAGACGACTTCACAATATTAGCAATTGAGATTGCTGCTGTCACTAATTAAAAATTATAATATTTAAATATAAATTCATCGCTTATCATTAACTACCAATTTCTGTTACTATTATCAGCTCATCCCTTCCCTCCCTCCCTCCCTTACCATTCTGGCTCCTAACATTCTCTCCAGTAGTTCTCTCTCCTCCAACCAGGAGCTGTGCTTCTGTGGACATCTTTACTAGAGCACGTGGGTGATCACGTGATACTAATTAATAGGTGTGATAGTTTATTAACATTATGAGTAGGCGTGGTTTAAGTTAGTAAAATACTCATATTAATTAACTGTAAAATTCCATTCGTGCTGAAGTGAAGTTTGTGTTCTATTTTTTCTCTCTTTCTCTTTCTCTCTCTTCTCTCCTTCTGTCGCAATGTTCCTTAAACCTCTCCTTTTGTTGTCAGTATCTTGTCTTAGTCTGTTTGTCTCCCTCGGCCTCTCTTCTCCTATAAATCACCTCTCCATTTGTAAGGAGCTAGTCTTCACTGCTGCTGTAGAGCCTCTGGACTCTCCTCCTTCCCCGTCCCTACTGTATGTCGCCTGGAGGGGCTACAGTAAAGAGAAGGAGAGCAAGATAGAGCCGGACTCTCCTCAGCTGAGAGCTCTGCCGTGCAACTTGAGGCTGAGCTACAATACTTCAGGCCAAATGATGGCATTAACGAGGAATGAGCCAAAAGATGAGGAAATGAGAAGATCATATCCAGCTTATCTCCTCCATAACGAAGTGAGCAATCATACGGTCACACACACAAATAAATATATTCTAAGCATATTATTATACAGGTACAGGCACACTAGAATTATAAAGATTGTTAGATCTAGCAAAAATAGAAATAATTTTTGTGAAACCGATCAAACTACAAATAGAATCTAACTACCTTAGAGAGACCTAGGCTAATTATGAGAGACCAAAACCAAAAGTTAAATGTTACATTTCAGGACACCAATTTACCAAATACTTGCATGTTCTGACAGTGATGATTGTCATATTCCAGATTGTGTTGCCAGAGCTGTTATTATAAACAGACTTGTACTTAAGTTGATTTTGTTATCAATAACTTGAGAAGAGAAGCTTAAATGTTCAAGTTGTTATGACTCAGACTTGACAGAGAGAGAAAGAAATGATTATGACTAACAACAACCACTTAGCCTTATAAAAACCACTAAAATATTATCATCATCATCATTATTATTATTATTATTATTATCACCAATTACAAGGATTTTATCTATTATAATCTATTATTATTTATTTTTATTATTATTACCATTATTCTTACACACAGCTGTACAATCCTGCTGCTGCCAGGTGTATATAAAGGAAACCTGTGCAATACTCCCGCCTTATTTATATAAGAGAGAGACAGGGAGAGAGAGAGAGAGAGTCTTTAATATCACAACACTGCAATATCTATTAGGGGGATTCACATTATGTACACGTACACAGTTCATTAGTGACACTATAGAGCCACACACACACACTCTCTCTCTCTCAACATGTGTACATGTACATGTACATTTAGTATTGGGCTGTTGGTATAATTCATTACTTTATTGTATTACTTTATTGATGAGTAGTTGATCTACTATCATGTAAACAAGACTGCGTATCAGATATTACACTGGAATGTTAATTCTCTTTCTCACTCTCTCTCTCTCTCTCTCTCTCTCATGCACACACACTCTCTCTCCTCCCCCTCTCCTCCCCTTTATGTGTGTGCGTGTGTGTGTGTGTGTGTGTGAGTGTAGTATACACATTGTCTTGTTTGTAGTAACAATCCTTTCTTTCAATTCTTTCATTTATTTTCAATAGCTATGCTTAGTATCTTCTATCCTCTTTAGTCTAACAAATTTTAACTGGAGGAGAGGGAGAGGGGGGAGAGAGAGAGGGGGGAGAGAGAGGGGGGAGAGAGAGAGGGGGAGAGAGAGAGGGAGAGGGGGAGAGAGAGAGGGAGAGGGGGAGAGAGAGAGAGGGAGAGGGGGAGAGAGAGAGAGAGGGAGAGGGGGAGAGAGAGAGGGAGAGGGGGAG